TTTGAAAACCTCGTCATGATGTAACAGCCCTGTTCAGAGTCCTACAGCTGTCTTTGTAAATGATACTGTTGGACAGTGTTAAGCATTAGCATCTTAGTGATTTCAAGGGAGTAACTTTTAATAAATCTTACTCCTGTTGGGTGACTCAGAATGTGGTGCAATTTATTTTTTAGGATTCAGTGTAAAATAATTAAAACCACATTTTTCTCTGAAGTATTGTGGAGACTAAGTACTATTGCACATCTACTTCTTAGGACCATTTGCAGGACTACTAACTCTTCTAGTAATGGAAGTATAGATAAGGGAGATAAATATATATACTTAAGCCCCAATAGTACCTCTTCTCTTCCAGACTTTTTGTGGCAATGCCTTTAGACAAAGATTAAAAAAAAAAAAAAAAAGTTTGTTTACTGTGCCGATATCACCGAACTAACTTTTGCAAATGATGAATGGATTTCTTTATTAAAAAAGTTCAAAAGCACAAACTAAAAGTTTTACTTCCATTGAAAGAACTAGATGTTGACTCTCCTTCCTCTTAAATACAGGAGGCATTTTGGGCCTCAAGGCATTTTGGAATAAGTCTTCAGAGGACATAGAAGGTGGCAGTCCATCTGTCCATCACATCTATCACATTCTATTGTGCAAGAAAACAGTTTACCCTTGACAGGTCACCAACCTGTCACAGGGCTTATGAACAAACAATCACACACTCATATTCACACAATTTACAGTGACCAATTAATCACTTAACAAGCACAAGACTTACTGTAGAAAGATGCCAGAGTACAAGGGGAGAACACAGGCGTGTACAGGTGCTGGCCAGTAAATTAGAATATCATCAAAAAGTTGAATTATTTCAGTAATTCCATTCAAAACGTGAAACTTGTATACTGTATACTTTCCTTCCACACATAGTGATATATTTCAAGTGTTTATTAATTTTCATTTTTATTATTACAACTGACAGCTAATGAAAACACCAAATTCAGTATCTCAGAAAATTAGAATATTCTGAAAAGGCTCAATATAGAAGACACCTGGTGCCACACTAATCAGCTGATTAACTCAAAACACCTGCAAAGGCCTTTAAAAGGTCCCTCAGTCTTGTTCTGAAGGCTCCACAATCATGGGGAAGACTTCTGACTTAACAGTTGTCCAAAAGACGACCATTGACACCTTGTACAAGGAGGGCAAGACACAAAAGGTGATTGCTACAGAAGCTGGCTGTTCGCAGAGCTCTGTGTCCAAGCACATTAACAGACAGGCGAAGGGACGGAAAAAATGTGGTAGAAAAAAGTGTACAAGCTCTAGGGATAACCGCACCCTGCAGAGAATTGTGACGACAAACCCATTCAAAAATGTGGGGGAGATCCACAAAGAGTGGACTGCAGCTGGAGTCAGCGCTTCAAGAACCACCACGAAGAGACGCATGAAAGACATGGGATTCAGCTGTCGCATTCCGTGTGTCAAGCCACTCTTGAACAAGAAACAGCGTAAGAAGCGTCTCGCCTGGGCCAAGGACAAAAAGGACTGGACTGCTGCTGAGTGGTCCAAAGTTATGTTTTCTGATGAAAGCAAATTTTGCATTTCCTTTGGAAATCAAGGACCCAGAGTCTGGAGGAAGAGCGGAGAAGCACAGAATCCACGTTGCATGAGGTCCAGTGTAAAGTTTCCACCGTCAGTGATGGTGTGGGGTGCCATGTCATCTGCCGGTGTTGGCCTACTCTGTTTCCTGAGGTCCAAGGTCAATGCAGCCGTCTACCAGGAAGTTTTAGAGCACTTCATGCTTCCTGCTGCTGACCAACTTTATGGAGATGCAGATTTCACTTTTCAACAGGACTTGGCACCTGCACACAGTGCCAAAACCACCAGTACCTGGTTCAAGGACCATGGTATCCCTGTCCTTGATTGGCCAGCAAACTCGCCTGACCTTAACCCCATAGAAAATCTATGGGGTATTGTGAAGCGGAAGATGCAATACGCTAGACCCAACAATGCAGAGGAGCTGAAGACGACTATCAGAGCGACCTGGGCTCTCATAACACCTGAGCAGTGCCACAGACTAATCGAGTCCATGCCACGCCGCATTAATGCAGTGATTGAGGCAAAAGGAGCCCCGACTAAGTATTGAGTGCTATACATGGGCATTCTTTTCATGTTCATACTTTTCAGTTGGCCAACATTTCAAAAAAAAACATTTTTTTTCATTGGCCTTTTCAATATTCTAATTTTTTGAGATACCAAATTTGGAGTTTTCATTAGTTGTCACTTATAAATATCAAAATTAAAAGAAATAAACATTGGAAATACATCGGTCTGTGTGCATTGCATGAATATAATGTACAAGTTTCACTTTTTGAATGGAATTACTGAGATAAATCAAGTTTTTGATGGTATTCTAATTTACTGGCCAGCACCTGTATAGGACATGTGTGCAAACTGCATTTAAAAAGGCCTCAGGCAGGACTGAAACCTGGAGCATTCTTGTAGAGTTTCCTACTGCAGCACTGTGCGGCCCAGAATAAAAAACTCACTGGTGGATCATTTTGAGATGGTCAGTGCGGGGATAGCACATGGCAGCAGCATCAACAAGCTGTCACCTTTACAAATGGTGCTCATAATTGAGCATTATTAGCAAACTGAAAGCACTATATTTCATGAACAGCTCTGTTTCTCTGGATTTTGGTCTTTGTTTTTTCTTTTTTAAATGTAGTCAGAGATGATGAGGAGATCCACTAAAGAGACAACTTTATCCCAGCTAAGGTAAGCATCAATGTGATGTAACTGAAGTAGGTTGTTCAGTGTTACTGACGCTAATATCCAGCTATGTTGATATTTAAAAAGTTCTCACTGCGCCTTGTTACAGCTGTTTCTGAACACTTTTAAAACGCACTTTGCCTCATTCATCAGTGCGGCAGATATTTCACATCCTGTTAAATACGTCCATTAGAAAATGAAGTAGATTAAAGCTTTTTGTAGTGTTCATATTTTACCTTGTGGAAAAGCTAGGAATAAGTTTAATAGAGTGGGGAAGTATGGTGATGTTCTTCTTTGACGTAAAGTACTATGACTTGAATCTGAAGAGAGATTATATAAAGATCAAAGTGATTTTGTTTTTTCTTTTGAAGGGGTGAGGGGGTCCTCCACCCCTCTAATGCCATCGCAAGATCATCCAGTAATTATACATCAAGATTATCCTGTGATTTGGAGGTGTATAAAAGTAGAAACAACCTCAAAGCTGCCAATCATTAAGAGTTTTGTCTGTTTTGTTAACATAAAAAACTTAAGTTGCAGGAACTTTAAACATGCACAAGACAAGATCAGCAGATAAATAAAAGGTTTCATCCTATCCATCTTGGACACCAAAATCTAGACAAATACAAATCACAGGAGCGTTGAATATGCAAATTGATTCAGTCGTCAACATGTGAGCAGAAATGTGGTAAAATAAAATCCAGCCTATAATTACTTTGGGAATACTGCACATTGATTAACAAATGGGCAATCAGAGGGTTCATGTGAAGGGACTGAAGGGATGTACTTCAAGACATAGAATATCTCATAGATCAACCCAGGTATCAGTAATACTGTACATGTAAATATTGAACAAAAAACTTAGTTGAGTGAGGGATTGTGTGTTTTTTAAAGGGTCTAAACTTACCAAGGTCATTTTCTCCCAAACTGGTTTCAACCTCTAGAAATGCTGTAAGTGAGAGTGAGTGCTTTGTTGAAAGTCTCATCCATCTGTGTAGTTTTATGAGTCATGAAGTGTATCCATTAAAGCCAAAAGCAGGCTTGTTACATCTTCTTATTTGATTTTCTTTTTTTAAAGTATGCAGGAAACATGATGTTTTTTTTTTCTTTTTTCATTATGATCCATAACTTTAAAAGCAATTCTAAGTGACTAAGCTAAAGCAGGCTTTCAGCTTTCACCCAAAGAGTCTCAGGCCTGTTATCAGCTTTGCAATGTATTTATTTATTTTTAAATAGAAATAATCTCAAATGACTCTGTGTGGACCACAATCTCCCGATCTACCCTGCCCTAAGTCAGATGGTGTGGATCCTCAGTTTACCAGGTTTGCTGAATCTTTTTGATTCTTCTACAGCTAAATTTCCCAGGAAACAGAATTATGGGATTCTATTTTGCATGAAGCTCAATATACATTATACTTATTACCCAGAGACAAACAGGTTGGTAATTTATTGATTAGAGATGGTTAATTGATTTGAATATCATCTATAAACTCCCTCAGGTTGGACAGTCAGTGGCATTTCCATGGCAACAGTGTATTAACGACCTACTTTAGTGTAAATGACAATGTTAAGTATAATGTTCACTCCACCCAAAAGTCTTAACATCAACAAGTTTTGTTGTAATGAATCACATCAAGCCACAATGTTTTTACTGTACTGATCTAGTCCTGGAACAGTACCATACTTCATGTCTGCTTTCTTCAATTTGTTCAATGTCAAGTATGTTAACAATTTTCCCCTTCCTTGCCTTTTGATTGCACGATTATCAACCACAAATCTAAGTTTTAGTGTTCTTAATGTATCTTAGCATGATAAAAGCTAATTTTGTCACATTGTCAACAGAGAAAAATCATTACCCAAGTTAATGTGACCGTCTTCCCCAGATTGGTTCAATTTATGTGATCTTGTTGTCTCTTGCTTTTCAGCAAAACTGTTGTTTGGGGTTTTTGAGCAATTGGAATCTAGTATTCAATGCTGCTGAGTGAACATAAAGAAAGCTGGGTAATCCACATTTTTATTTTTTTTTTTCCATAGGAAGAAAATGCGCTTTGTTGTTTCTAGAATTGTGTATTGCCACACTTTCCTGAAGTGCCAGGCTCTTTGTCATATATTTAAAAAAAAACAACAAACAACCATAGCCTGTTTAAGAAAAATCAGATTAGAGATTTTGAATAGGAAGAGTTTCAGCACAAAGACTGAAGCTCTTCTTACTGTACTATTATACTTTTTCCACCAGGAGGCAGTGCTGTCTTTTTCTTGAGTTTATTCAATATGAGAGAACATGATTAGAGCAACCATGAACGCCTGCTCTTTTTCTTTTCTTTCTTTCTTTTTTTTTTTAAATAAAAAGAGAAATTGATAGCTAATTTTTAAGAATTACATAACGGATAAAAAAAGAAGTTAAGATTTCTTTATTTAATTTCTGTAATGCCTGATGTACATCTGTCTTTCTCGTTTCAATAAAAACAGCCACTGTGTTTGGCTCTTCTGTTCAGGAAAACTGAAATGACTTGAATATTGTGACAGCATCAATGACTTATTAGGGCTTTCCAGTATTATTCATGATCATGTCAATCCAGCTCCTGTAGTCAGAAATCTTGACATAACTTTTGATCAGCTGACCGTCTGTAGTTGTTTTAGTGGAGGACACCACCCCGTACGCCTTCCCATCCTCACAGACCAGCGGACCCCCAGAATCTCCCTGAAAATACACAGAATTTAAGGAGTGCTCTGTCAGTGAGAGGAATCATTGATGACGTATTTTTAGTTTGTCTTTTTATGTCTTAAAAATCTACATACACTAGCCGGTCCAGTTTCTCCCTCAGAGCAGTAAGACTTGGCCTTCTGACACTTATCACTTTCAATGATTGTGACATTGGCTTCCATGAGAACCCTGGACGCATATCCATTGTTCTGGCTTGTACTTCCCCAGCCTGAGACTGAGCACGACTGTGGCAGAGAGCCTCCGTTGTCAGTTGCCAGATCAATAGGTCCCACATTTTTGCTGAAAGTCGCCTTGCAGCTCAGCTAAAAAACATGAAGAGATAGAAACTCATCAGAACGATTCAAACATTCATCTGAAGTGAAGGCATCTTACAAGTGAGAGTTCAGACATAATCAGCAACAAGACACTGATTATTTTGGAGAACATTAGCATGGTTCTGATATGAGCCATTTGGGCTGGAAGCCAGAACTAGTCTTTATGGTGATTTTTGCTCTCTTTTTTTCATCATGGTTCTAGTTTGCCCATCTCAACATGTTAATGACCTCTCCAACCTCGGGAGTGTTTGGTCTTGGGCATCCAAAAAAAAACCCTTTTTGAAAAATGCTTTTGGCATGATAAAATAAATCTAGAGATAAAGTTGTTTCTATGGTGTTTTACATCACACAAGTCTAAATAGAGAGTATCCTAAAACATAGTGGAAAGTAATAAAATGAAGGTCATATATATATATATATATATATATATATATATATATATATATATATATATATATATATATATATATATATATATATATACTTCACCTTCTTTTATGATGCCTTTTACTCTGATTCTTGTGCTCTCAAGAATAATCAAAATGCCACAAAACATTTACACCTATGAGGTTCACTAAAAGTTAGCATGCCTTTTTTGACTATTTGAAGATATAAATCAATGAGGAAAGACCATGTATATTTGTAAAAACAGGTTCATAAGAGCACATCACCAAAAGTCATTAAGCCCTTAAACTGAAGCTCATAGTTTGGTGAGTTTTTTAAACGCTAATGAAGCAGTGATCCTGATCATGAAATACATTTAAAAAAACATTTCTGAGGATATTTTATCAAGTTAACTTTTTTTTTTGTTTTTTTTTTTGCCTTTTTATGAATTTTGTGGATGATTAATTTAAATTTAGAGGTAACAAGCATCAGTCTTATGTTATTATTTCCCATGTGTTTTCTGGTATATTTCATACTCACATGATGTAAAATGCAAAAGTAACAGCTTTATTTCTGGATTTACTTTATCAAGCTAAAAGCATTTTTTAAAAAGGTTTTTTTTGGACTCCCAAGACCAAACATTTCCAAGTTTGGAGAGGTCGTTATCATCTTGAGATGGCACAAGGTACAGGCTAATCAGAGTGAAAAAAGTGTTTAAAAATCCCCTTAAAGGACTAGTCCTGGCTTCTGGTCCAAATGGCTCACATCAGAACCATGCCAATGTGACATAAAAAACGGCCTGCATGAGTGTGTTTATAACACAAGTCCCACAGCTGGCACAGATATTTAGAGTTATCAGTCTGAATTGAGTATGTTAGTATACAGTAACATGCAGTACCAGATTTAGTGTCAACAGTAATACTCCCATGATTCCCAGCATGATTTCCCTCTGAGGTGTAGAGAAGCAGAGGTAAGCGAGACTTAGAATACTAATGTTCTTCAAAGTGTACTTAAAAGTCGGCAGGTGGGCTAAACCACCTGAGTAGGGGGTGGATCAAACATTTTCCGTCATAAACAGTCCATCCCCAGTTTTCTACATGTCTATGTTTAGTTTACGTCCAGACATGATCTTACAGGGAAAGGGGTGGATGGTTTTTCTGACAAGATATAAAACACAAAAAGAATACTTGTGTTGCCTATATCTTATCATCTGATCTTAAAAAGAAAAAACATTCAATATCAGGACTTTGATGAAATAAAACTAAGAAAAGTATGACCTAAAAAAACAAAGTAAAGCTAAAAACCACAGTTGCTGTTAAATTCAAACATCTAAGCACACACACGCGTTTACCTTAAGTAGCAGCAAGTCATCACTGCAGTCAGTTATATTGAAGCCTGGATGTGGAAAAGCCTTTTCCACATTCATGACTTCTGCATTTTCACTGATCCTGTGAGATCCCATTATGACTGTGTGAGAGCTGGAATGACAATTAAAATTAAATTAAATTAAAAAATGTCAAAACAAACCTTTTTCAGACTATTATGATTATAAAAATGTTCTAAAATACGTTTTGATTTGTAATTATTCGTGTCATTAAGCATGAGCATATTAGTCAAAGGTTGGTTTGAACAATGTTGGACATACTGAGCGTGGCAATGTGCGGCAGTCATCACGAAACTCTCGTCCAGAAGAAAGCCACTGCAGGATGTTTTACTTTGACCATGCTTGTGGTTTTCCACAAACACCATGTAGGGCCTTTGGTGAGGAGCAACCTTGTTCCCATGGATGATCTTCCCTGTATGAACTGAAGGAGAAAATGCATCAAACTCAATCACTATTTGATCCACTCTTGAACACTTTTTTATCTAATGTCAAAAACGGAGAGTGTAAAACTCTGCAGTTTATCATGCAATAAAATCCGATCTCACCTTGTCCATCAAGAGTTAGAGCAAGTATCAGCAGTGCCAGTTTACAGTTGGGAGTCATGGTGGATCATTACTGAGCAGCAGTGGTTTACATCCCTGGCACACAGAGTTTTTATAGTACTCACTTGTGTTAGAGAGGAGGGACTGTTGCTTATGTAAATGATGTGGCTTTTGACCTGATTCATCAGCATGATATCCATCTTCTTCAGCCGAAGTCAAGAGTTACAATTTCTTGGAACAAGTTTAAAATATATTTCTTTCTATGTTGCAACACACTGCTTAGTTTACCCACAATACCTCTTAAAGGTCACAGAGACCAATTCAAATGGAAGTGGTAATGCATTTCATGTATTTATGGGACTTTCTGTTGTCCTCTGGCCACTACAGAGATGCTGCTATGTACGGCATCTATCACCATAAAGAAATCCCATTTACTCACTGCTGGCACAGCTATTGGTTTAAGTGTCCTGCCCTAGGACGCTTGTGTATGGCAGGACCTGAAATTGAACCTTAATGTGCCGATTGAGAGATGACTGAACACTGAGCCAAAGCCTCCCCCTTAAACGTCACTGTAAAAATCTCATTTCATTCCACATTTATTCTGTCAGAGCTGTGCTTTGTGACCCCTGAATTATGTTTTTTAAAAGCCTCCATAAACTGATCAATGAGAGAACTGGCTGCAGTGAGAACATTTCTGTGAAGCTACATAGCATAGAAAGCAACTGCTGAACAGAGCACGTACTGACTCAGTCAGCACTTTGCAAAACCTCTGTGGTACAAACTAACTATGCAGCAGAATTCAACGAACTAAGAAGAAAATCTTACTTTGAAAAATGCACAAAATATCAAGCTTGACAGGTGTTGTATTGCAACCCAAACTATCTGCAAAGTTCAGCTTTACTAAATAATAGTAGCTTACAGACATTTCATCCACCTTGCTGTGATGGGGGAAATGAGCAAAAAAAAAAAAGCTTATACTGTGTTTGATACATCATTTCGTGCAAGTTGCAAGCACTCATGATTTTTTTTCATGACTCCTCATTAGATGAGCATCTTGATAAAATCTCAGCTGCAAGAAACTGCTAATGCAGCTTACATCAAGAAAGCATCTTTGCACAACACACTGCCAAAGAGAGACATAGATCAAGTGAGATTTCTGTGGTTTACAAATCAACCAACTCAGAAGAGCAACAGGAAGCTTTATGAGCTGAGAAGCATAAAGATGAAGTTTGATGTCTTTACCTGGCGCCTTCCTGCTGAAAACCAGCGGCAGCATCTAAAACATTATAAAATGTGTCCAACCCCCTGTCTCAGCCTCCTGTCGTGGAGTGTTGTTGTTGGTTAAAGATTGATTTTGAAAAAAGAAAAGTCATACATATGCAGAAAATGATGGTGTATATGGTGTGTTTTAAAAGACTGAGGCTGAGGATTCATCCCCCTGTAAACAAGCCCAAATTAGTACCAGCTTTTGAATCATGAGGACAGTGAGACTGAATGAAGAAAAAAAAAAAATGCTTGTCACATGTACCAGAAATTCAAACTATGGTTAAAGCTTCTCTTCATCAGACCATTTGACTAAATTATTGTCCTTGCTCCAGTCTACAAGCTCCAGACAGGACAGATTCATTAACAAATGAATGCCTGCTTCTGCTTTGGTGGGCGGAAAATGTGCCCCTTTTAGCAGGTCAAGCAGAATTGCATGCAAACTGTGAGGCGAGAGCAGAATATTTAGGCCAGTTTGAGTCGAATCAACGTGTATGCATGCAAGAGGAAACCTCTCCAGCTGTATTATCAAGATGTTTGACTGTGTGCATTTTTAGTTGGACTACATGTGTACATGTGTTTTACAGTTTCAGTCAGACTAACATCAAAAATACATTTTTCAAACATCATGCCAATCATTACCAAAGGCTTTAAACCCACCTTTTGGTTTATTTATTCTATCTGGTTCTAGTCATCTCGGGGTTTTTCTGTGTCTGGGTGTGTCTTGCATCATTTTCAAATGTTCCCACAGCGTTTATCTTCTTTGTACAGATTGATATCATAAAACCATTACCACTTCCAAAGTTGTGAAACAGGGCTGTGTTCAATGCAACTTTTCATTCTTCAAGGTCTGATTTACAATCATGTGCTCTTACTTGTGTACTCTTACTACGATGGCCAGCAAAGGCAAAAGAGCTGCAACTTCAAATACAGAAATGATGCAATGAAAAATGCGCAGTGACTGAAAGAGGCTGCAAATAAAAGGAAAAGATGTAAAAGCACTATAGTTTGATATCAATGTTGGAATAAGTAAGCTAGCACAGCTTTTTAATCAACACATCTGTGTTTTCTGAACTTCATACCAGCAGAGTCAGCTAATTCACTGCTAGCTAAGGGGCTAACTGGGGCATGTGCCTCAAAAAAGCTGCACTCAGCAGCTCAGGGGAATTTTTCAGGACTTGACTTCAATTATCCCCGGGCTTCTGCTCAATAAACACTCAGTTCTGGGAAGAGATGTGAGCCTGACAGCCCTCCTACTTGACACTGTGCCTTCTTCACCTCGGCTTGTCAGGGTTGCAGGGGGTTTAGCGAGGACTCACCGTAAGTCTCCTGGCTTCAGTGTGAATGATTCAATATGTTTTTGTCTGTCATTCTTTATCTAGGTACAGTTTACACTCCTCCCAGCTAACTTAAAGACACTACAGTTATTTCCTGTTGTTAAACTACACCACTATCTCAGCCGACGCCACATGCCCAGGGCCTGGTATCTTCTTTAACAATGTCAGAGCTGCTAGCAGTCTGAAGTCAACGCCAACACACCCCCATGCAGTCGTCATGGTCATTCTACACACTGCAATCCAATGGTGTTTATCAGCAACAGTCTAATAATAACATAGGCTGTTAAAACAGTTAAGTTTAGTGTCTTCTCCATCCTGTTGTTAATGAAGTTGTATCACCCTGCACCCCTAAAGGCCTGGAGCGCCTCTGTTAAAAGTCTTACATATTTGCTATTTTGACCCTTATTTATAGCTGCTTTCTGCCATTGTGCATTTTTAGTATTATTTGTCTATTTTTCTTGCCTTTTTACCTCCGCCAAGGAGGTTATGTTTTCCGTATAGTTTTTTTTTTTTTTTTTCAACTTTACAAAGAAATTTACAAACGGATTGATCTGATATTTTTACCAGAGGTGCGTCTCAGCCCCAGGAGGATCCCATTATATTTTGGTGGTGATCCGGATTGCCTTCTGGATCCAGGAATTTTTTGAAGGATTCTTTATCATTGTGAGATAGGGCAAATTTGGGAATTTTTGATCCAGAAAATAAGGGTGTTGTTGGAACTTTCTATGCTGAAAGATAACCAATGGGCGGCACAGTGGTGTAGATAGGCGGCACAGTGGTGTAGTGGTTAGCACTGTCGCCTCACAGCCAGAGGGTCCTGGGTTTGAATCCGGATCAGGGCATTTCTTGTTTGCACATTTCCATTGTTGCATTTTTTTTTTTTTTGGGACTTTTGCATGTTTATTTTAAGTTGTGTCATTCCTGCATTCACAATGTGTTTCTCCTGATACAGATAATTCCGGCTTTTGCAGATCATCTTCCTTCGCAAGTTACTGTAGTACTCTCAGTGGTCAGAACAGATTTCATTTACTTACTGAGGCGACAAAGACCACGTCGTTAAAGAATAATGTGGGGCTATAATGGAATGACAAGTAAACGAATGAGGGAAGGAAATGGAGAGGGGGAAATGGGTGAATAGGAGTCTGCAGATGAGATGGAATTAGATTGTGCACGAAAAGATGAACGTGGCTGAAATGAATGAGCTCTGATAGTTCAGTATGATCAGAAGACAACTAATCTGCACTATCAGCTGACAGACTGGGTGTGATTGAAAGAGCTGAGAGAAAGAGCAAAGGGTGCCGTGATGGCAGTCAGTGATAATATGCTTCGATTAAGGAAGTAGGACTTTGATGAGTGAGGGCGAAACTTCTTTTCTGTAAGAGAGTGTAAAGAAGAGAAATATGCCCTGAATTTGGGTTATAAATTTGAAGAATACCTGGAAGATATCCATTTAATTGATAATGGGGGTGGACAGTTGGCTATACTTGTTAATGCTGCGTTCAAGTTACCTCAGAAGTCAGGTGTCTGAGCTGGGAATGACGTCACACCCAAGTTACCAGCGTTTCAGTTACCAAGTCGGAAAAAAGCAAAAACATGATGGCTACCCCTACGAAAGTTATTTTAGCGCTTGCTTTGTCCTTGCTTATTTTCGGACAAGGCAAGCGCTAAAATAACTTTTGTAGATGTAGCTATTTTGTTTCCGCCTCTGATTTTGCGTTCTTTCAACTTATGCTGGTAACTCGGGTGTCATGGCCTGGACTTCTGACTCCCCAGGTAACTCGAATGCAGCATAAGTAGGTGAGTTAGTGAGTACATAAATAATACAGATACTCAGTGTGAGGTAAATATGCTTTTCCTGTGGACTTGGGGAGGATATGAGTGAAACTGTTACTTGTAAGAGTAGTTATGGTATGATTCATATTCTATATTTTCAAGCAGTGAACCTTTCTTACACTGCAAAGGGGGTGATAATCTGCTCCAGAGTCCATTGGTCCATGCGTGAGGAAATGGATATTGAGCAAAAGTTCCTCACATCTCAGCAGGTTTTGGCTGTACACTGGAAAAACAGTCCATGTTAGAACATTAGCCACAGTACAAAACCAAAACACATGAGCTATTGTCTTACATGGATTTAACTTTCTATTACTCTTCATGAACAGACAACCACACCAGTCTATCACTCTGGTCACAAACATCAATTCTAAGCTGAAACTCCAAAGTCTTGGCCTGGTATGACCATGTCAGATGATCCTTGTTGATTCCCAGCCTGCTAGCTGTCTAGTACAAAGCCTGCATAGTGTAACATTGTCCAGAGTTAGGCTGGATCTTGTGGTGTTACAGACAAACAGCTTAAGGGTTGAAAGAGCTGTTGGCAGTAAGGTCTCAAAAACATTGTTACAAAAGAGAGACACATGTTTGGACAGGACTTCATCATGTCTGGTTGAAATCTTTACCCACTTTAGGACTGGCACCTGATTAGATTCCAGGTTGGTACGCCTGTTTAAGCTCAGTACAGACAGTGTTAAAGAGCTGTTTTGATGCACTCTGTGCTCCCTGCTGACCTAGATGATGCTGGCTCTACTTTTGCAAGTGTGAGACTCCACTGCAAACAGAAAAAAGCAAGCCTGAAGAATCTCTTTGTCCTGTGGTTTTCTGGGGATGTCATATTGAACTATTTTCCTCATGCAGCTTGTGATTGATTTTCTTTGCTTTTTAAGAGACAATTAATTAAAGATTAAATATATTTAATCAGTCACCAAACTTTCAAAAAAGCATTTTTAAATTTTTTTTTCAAAACCGTCATTTCTCCTTAGCAGGATGAAGCTGATTGTTATCAATTAACCACATCCTCTGCCTGTTTGAGTTAAGCAGCTGCAAAGTATAAACCTCTGGTTTATCTTGTTTTTTGTGGACTTTTTTATTACACAATCAAAGGAGACAGCGTCACCGGCATATCTTGTCCTAAATTTCTTATGAAAGCATCTATGTTTTATATCAGCCTCTGAACTCGTGACTTTAACCTCATGAAAGTTTTTGATGTGACACTTACAATCCTGTAAAGTTAAATATATGATATCCAGATGATGAGCTGTGTCTCCAGACGTGCCAGGTTAACAAAGAGTGTTCATGTAATGCAAAACTACAACTTATCAGTATTTCTTCAACTTTCTGTGCAGCAAAACAAGACATTTTCAACAAACTATAACCTGGGTCCTAAAATCGAATTATTAAATTAAAATATTAATTTGGGGTAAGACAAAGTTTTGCATCTGAGAGATGTGCTTTGAGCTGACTGGAAATTATTTCAGTAAAGGTTAATGAGATTGGCCTGGTAACATGCGCTTTACTTGGAAAGAAATTTACATTCAAGGGAGGTGACATGCACTCGCACCAGTAAGTCTTATCAAGGATAGGTATCTCTACCTTTATATTCATTGCAAAAACACTGAATTACCTCATGGTTTTGGTCCTTCCTCTAAAAATAAACTTCTTTCATACAGTATCTATATACAAACTCCATTGGAATAGCTTCAACATTTAATCAAATTCTACACTTCCTCATATATATACTTACGTATTATAATCAAGATATTTTACTGTAATATCAAAACTGTTCTAATGGGTTTTCAATATAGGTAGGGATGCAATGTTTTAGCTATTT